TTTTTTTTTTAAGTATTTAGGTCTGGGCACAGTGAGTGGCTCATGCCTGTAATACCAGCACTTTGGGAGGCCAAGGGGGTTGGATCACTTGAGGTCAGGAATTTGAGACCAGCCTGGCTAACATGGTGAAACGCCATCTATACTAAAAATAAAAATTATCTGCGTGTCATGGTGCATGCCTGTAATCCCAGCTATTCAGGAGGCTGAGGCAGGAGAATCACTTGACTCAGGAGGCCGAAGTTGCAGGGAGCCAAGATCACGCCATTGCACTCCAGCCTGGGTAACAAGAGCGAGACTCCATCTCACAAAAAAAAAAAATAATTCTGACAGGCATGGTACCTCACAGCTGTAATCCCAGCATTTTGGAAGGCCCAGTCTGGCAGATTGCTTAAGCCCAGGAATTCAAGACCAGCCTGGACAACATGGTAAAAACCCTGTTTCAAAAAACTACACAAATTCGCCAGGCATGGTGGCGCAGACCTGTAGTCCCAGCTACCTGGGAGGCTAAGGTGGGAGGATTGCTTTAGCCTAGGAGGCAGAGGTTGCAGTCAGCTAAGATTGCACCACTGCACTCCAGCCAAGGCGACAGACTGTCCCAAAAAAAAAAAAAAAAATTGGTTGAACTTTCTGCAGATACACTAAATGTAATTTTGACACTATACTAAATGTAAAACCTTTTTTTATTAACTAAGTTGACAAAATGTGTTCATTTAAAGATTTTGGCAGAAAAGCATCAAGTAGATTAAGAACATTTTTATCTTTCCACAAAATTAATACATCAGTCAGGATTCAGAGAAGCAGAACCACTAGAAGATACACTTTTTAACAGAGATATGACATCAACGATTGTGAGACCGATTTAAGCAGTCTGTAAGGCTTCATCTTTGCATCTGATGCTGGAAGTTGAAGTGCACAGGCAGTTGAAAAGCGAAGATGAATGATTGGGGGAGGGATAGTGACACTAAGAATAAGCTGGAACCAGCCAGAAGCACAAGGTAGACCTCACAAACAAGGACTGAAATTCTGGTCAGGTCTTGTTTCTTCTGACTTTGGTGGATGTCCTTCCAAAGCCAGGACTTCATCATGGAGCAAAATATAGCTGGTCCAGAAGTCTGAGAAGCTGAAGGAGGATCTGGGGACAATGGAACAACTGCAGGCCCAACCGCTGCCTCATCCCAAAGGGGCAGCAGATAAGCCACGTGTGTGAGCTACAAAATTTGTTTCACTCACGGCAGGGCGTGGTGGCTCACGCCTATAATCCCAGCACTTTGGAAGGCTGAGGCGGGCAGATCACCTGAGGTCGGGAGTTCAAGAGCAGCCTGATCAACATGGTAAAACCTCATCTCTACTAAAAACACAAAAATTAGCTGGGCGTGGTGGTGCATGCCTATAATCCCAGCTTCTCAGGAGGCTGAGGCAGGAAAATCACTTAACCCTGGGAGGCAGAGGCTAAAATGAGCTGAGATTGTGCCACTGCATGCCAGCCTGGGCAATGAGTGAAACTCCATCTCAAAACAAACAAAAAAAATTTGTTTCACTTCAGCCCCCCAAAACTCCTATATTATCCATATTCATTACTCATGCACTGCATAATGTTGCCTCATTTTGGTCAACAATGGACTGCATATAAGATTGCAGTCTCATAAGATCATAACAGAACTGAAAAATTCCTTTCACCTAGTGACGTCCTAGCCATTGTAACGTCCTAGCCCAGTGAATTAAGTGTTTGTGGTGATGCTGGTGTATACAAACATACTCTGTTGCCAGCTGTATAAACGTATAGTACATACAACTGTGTATCATACATAATACTTGGTAATAAATTACCCTATTACTGGTTTATGTATTTACTATTTATCGTTGCAGTAAATGCGTTCTACTTATTTAAAAAGAAAAAAATTTATCTGAAAAATAACCTCAGTTAGGTCCTGCAGGGGTTATTCCAGGAGGTATTGTCATGACAGCTCCATGCATGTTACTGCCCCTTACACCTTCCAGTGGGACAAGATATGGAGGTGGAAGACAGTGATACTGATCATCCTGACTCTGTGTCAGCCTAGCACAATGTGTGTGTGTGTTTTTGTTTTTTTAAAAAAAGTAAGGCTGGGCGTGGTGTCTCACCCTGTAATCCTAGCACTTTGGGAAGCCAAGGTGGGTGGATCACGAAGTCAAGAGATTGAGACCATTCTGGCCAACATGGTGAAAACCTGTCTGTACTAAAAATACAAAAATTAGCTGGGTATGATGGCAGGTGCCTGTAATCCCGGCTACTCGGGGGGCTGAGGCAGGAGAATCCTTTGAACCTGGGAGGTGCAGATTGCAGTAAGCTGAGATCATGCCACTGCACTCCAGCCTGGCAACAGAGCAAGACTCTGTCTCCAAAAAAAAAAGGTTAAAAAGTAAAAACAAATTTTACTAAATAGAAAAAAGCTCACAGGATGAGGATATGAAGAAAGAATATTTGTGTATAGCTGTACAACGTGTGTTTTAAGCTAAATATTATTATGAGTCAAACAGTTAAAATATTTAAAAGTTTATAAAGTAAAAAGTTATAGTAAGCTAATTTTTTAATTAAAAGAAATTTTAAAAACATACCTAGCGTAGCTTAACTGTATGTGCTTATGCAGTAGGTCCACAGGAGGAGTGTACAGTAATTTCCTAGGCCTTCACATTCACTCACTACTCACTCACTGGCTCACCTAGAGCAATTTCCAGCCATGCAAGTTCCATATAGGTAAGTTCCCTGTATAAGTGTACCATTTTTTATCTTTCTATATCATATTCTTACTGTACTTTGTCTAGAGAGACAAATACATTATAATGTAAATATAATTTGTATAATGCACAAATTGTGTTACAATTACCCACAGTACTCAGTACAATATAATAGGCTTGTGGCCTCAGAGCAATAGACTTTATCATGTAGTCTAGGTGAGTAGTAGGCTTCACCGTCTAGGTTTGTGTAAGTACACTCTCTGAGGTTCTCAAAATGACAAAATCGCCTGATGCATTCCACAGAACATACATCCATCATTAAGTGACACACAACTGTATTTAGAACATCCCAGACAATCACTGTCATCCTTCTTTAGTGACCAAGAACTCTACATATGGGAGGTACAGGTCAATAAATGGCGGGTTTTATCTTTTGGGTTTTATGTTAGATAGTGTTTCTACTCTAAGCTAATTAAAGTCATTTTCACCTGCAAAACATGATGAAAACCAGGAATGATTAACAAGCACCTTTCTTAGAAGTTCTTAGGAGATTTTGCTTCAATATTTTTCAGTGTGTGGAAAAAGCAAAACTGTAATTCTATGTACTATAGGTACTATTATGACTAAAAGTACTACTCTTCTAAAATGAGCTATAACAATTAAAAAGCTCACCACAACATAAGCTCACCCTATAAGGATGGTTTGCATGATGTAAAAAATGTGATAATTAACACGTTATGAAATTTTTAGGTGGCAAGCAGTGATACTATTGTCCCAGATTTCTGACATAAAATGCTTTGCAAGAGTTTTTGCAAATTTATAGTATACAAACAAATCATGGGCTTTTACCAAGCTTAGTTTTACTATCTTTACAAGCAATTTAATACCCCGTCCATTTCTCTAAGAGGGGCAAGTTTCACACCAGTTCTTTGAAAGTTTCCAAAGTTTGCAAATATAGTGACTTAGGTAAGAATGCATTTTGTTCATTTTAGAAAACAAGATTAAAACACCTTTTGCTGGAGTTAACAGCAGAGGCATATTATATCCCACACTAATCTGAGATTAACAATTTTTCACTCCATTTTGAAAGCTAGCATAATACAAGCAGGACTTCAAATTCACCTAAAGTTTTCTACGACTTTTTCTCTAGCATGTTTGGAAATATGGTAATATAAATGAGCAGGAGGCACCCTTTAATTCAGCAGTTGAACAACACAGGCTTGGACTGTACAGGTCTACTTACACGCAGATTTTCAACTGAACCCCTAACCTCCGTATTATTTAAGGGTCCACTGTATTTACTTACAATATTTAATGCAGCCCTTTCATGGCCTCGAAACAGGATCTTTGTGTTCTGTAGACTTAGGGAAAACTAGGAAGAGGGCTCGATATATAATCATTATTCATTACCCTCCCCCTGGGTGTGAAAAATAAACTGTATGTGAATAATACTATAAAAACCCATTTTTGGCTGTGCACGGTGGCTGATGCCTGCAATCCCAACACTTTGGGAGGCCAAGGTGGGCAGACCACCTCAGGACAGGAGTTCAAGACCAGCCTGGCCAACATGGTGAAAACTCATCTCTTCAAAAAAATACAAAAATTAGCCGGGGATGATGGTGGATGCTCTAATCCCAGCTACTAGGGAGGCTGGTACGAAAGAATTGTTGAACCCAGGAGGCAGAGGTTGCAGGGAGCTGAGATCGTGCCACTGCACTCCAACCTGGGCAAAAGAGAGAGACTCCGTCTCAAAAACAAAACAAAACAAAATTTCTATTAGCATAAGTGGGGCTTAATTCCAGTTCTAAGCAGAAGGAACTGCTGCTCATTTTTCATCTACTAAGTTATCAGCAGACAGATGTGTTAGTTTCCAAACCATCATATGTACTTACACTCACAAAAATTGGAGCATCCATTTGAAGCTTCCCGTTTATGAAGTTTGACAATTCTCTGTATGCGAATGTCTACAGAGGGTGAATTGTCTCTTCAGAGAATTATTTTCTCAAAGACAGAAACCATATTTTCTCTGGATACCATACCAGTGGGCAAGAATATTAAAAATTTCTAAATGGATATTGAAGATGACTAAATGTTGATCCCCCCTCCCAATTTAAACAGTTTCAAAATCACAAATGGAGAACATATAGAATTTTATGTATCTATATTGCAAAATCTTGATTTTTCATGTGGTATTATAAAAACATACAGTGTTTTGACCTATTCATTTGGAACACTGCATATAGCTTCATTCATTAACTGGATAAAAAGGCACATTTCGAAAAATCTTCATGAAAAGTAAAACTGTGAAAAGTTTATTTGCATTGATTAATTCCTTTTTTTTTTTTTTTTTAACCATCGTAAGAGATATTAACATTTGTTTGCTCTTCGTGATCAGAGAAAGGACATTTTGGAATGGATAATCTGTTTCTACTATTATTTAAAGGAAAAAGCTTTAAAAACAAAATTCAAGTGCAAAAATTTCCAGTAGTCTTCCTACCCTTCAGTGCACCCCAGCAAAATATTCATAGCTGTGCTGTTAAGAAATTAATAAATCATAAGTTTCAATTACCCATGTTTTTTTCCTCCCTAAGGTGTCTGTTCTTATGAAAAAAATCTGTAGCATATTCCTGAAAGTATACCAAATTCCTACAAAGTAAGAGAGCTGAAAAGCAACAGTGATCACTGCCTTTCAGTGTCTCCAACCCCACATAACCACACATAGGATAATTCAGTCTCTAAGTCATCTGATCTACCCATTTCCTAAATAACAGGGATCAACTTCTATTCAATAAAGCTAGTCTGGGTTTACTAACACTTTCCCCAACATTCAACAGGCCCATGTAAGGTAGTAATTAGGTGTTTCAATTTTTAACTATGATTATTTTTCTTTATTATAAAATGTACTTAATGCCAACATATGCAATGTATGTATCAGCATGGAAGATGCAGCTTTAAAGATGATGTTTATTTAAAATTTTTCTTAGTTTATACTTTGGAGTTTTAAGTCATATTTTCAATATGGGTCTCTAAACTCATTTTAAATTATCTAAAATCCTCGAAAAAGTTTAAGCTACTGGTCAGTCTAAAAAAACTTGACAGATGCATTCTTGAGACATTCATCAGGATACATTTTAAAAACATCGATCTAAGTAAGCTCTTTAATACAACATGATACTTTATAACTGTTATACATTATTCCCCCTAAGTCAGTTTCATACTTGGACCTTCAAACCATGTTGGAATAAATAAGAAAAATTTTAAGTGCAAAAATGAGTAATACATGATTTTATCATTTGGAGAAAATTAAATCAATAAATATTTTCCTGTGATTTAAAAAAAATAAACAATAGGAATCATCAATCTTCTGTATACTTCTGGACTTTAACTTGTAACAAATATATTCTGTTAGCATATAAAATGTTTTTATCTTATTTTGAAAGCATTAAATATGTAGGGTTGTCCAAAATATGTGTATTGTTTTTTAAAACTGACTCCAGTGTATCCACATTCTACTAAAAACAAACAAAGTAATCAGACTGATGTGCACTTATTAGGAAGCAAGTTTAAAAATTTGGAATTTTTTTTAAAGTGCTGAGATTTGGAAGAGGAATATCTTTAAACATGCTAACCATTCATTACCTCATGATGAACATAACAAGGACTCAAACTCAAGTTTAGAAAAACAAAATAGAGGTTCTATGAAAGGAAGATTAGTAACAAACATTCAGGTAAAAACAAATAGCACCACAATGAATTGCACTAAGGTGCTAAAGGAGAGGTACCTTATTCCCTGCAGAGTGAATGCTCCTTCTGAAATGTATTGCAACATATAAATGCAATTGTTTAATGGTTACCATTTGGTTCATTCATCTACAGAAAATTGCATTCCTTCTAGTTCATTATATTGAACAAACATTCAAATTACTGAACTATACATAATGTTACATAGTTTACATTTTATGAAAACAAAGCTCAAAGGAATATTTATAAATGTCACCTTGAATTAAGATGACAAGTTTAAAAGGGCTCCATATCTCTTAAGACATTTAATTTACGTTAATGGTCCAGGAGTGTTTTAGATATAGATATAGATATATTTATATGCATATATATTTCAACAAGAAGTGTAAAAATTTTTAAAAACAAATCACAGCACTCATAGCTGCTTTACATACGAAGGTCTCAGGGTCATTAAGGTGTCAAACTATTACATTTATAATATGTATATTTTTAAAAGGACCAAAAATGGCACATCAGAAAACTGGCTGAAATTCTTATTAGAGGCCCATTTCACTGTATCATATTACTGATGTGTCAATTCATTGTGTAATTCCCTTTTCTTCACTGAAAGCATTTGTCCCTTCTATTTGGATCCACTTCTAGGGTCTCTGCATTTTCTTTCCTTGGTCAGACAGCATCCTTTTCCATGTCAGTTAAAGATCAGGAAAACGGCTTGGGTCTTCCTTGTAGTCATCAGGTATAGTAAAGATGGAGCCATCAAATTCATCGTATCGAAACTCCTGAAAAGTCACAGTGGCTGTGATTGTGGGAAACACAGGTATATCTACAGAAAGAACATCAATGATAACATTGTAAAATCAAATGTTAATATTCATAGACTACAAAGTACTATTGGACATGTCCATACACCTTAAAATGTAAACAAAGAAACAAACAAACAAAAAATCCTACTCAAGGACCAGAAGAATTCAAATATAGGTAGTACAGAGTGTGTGTTTCAGGGAAAGTTCTGGGTATTGGTTAATGAGAAAAAGATATCAAGGCATCCAGCATTATACTAAAAACCCAAGATCCTATTTCTGCCTCATCTTAAGAAAATAATACCAGATTCTACCAGTCCTTTTTCTTTTTCATGGGGAAGAGGGATAGCTACTTTTGTACTTTTTGCCTTCTAACTTTTTTTCTTAAGATAATAGTGTATATACTATTTTGACTCTTTGAGCTGATTTATTTTCATTCTTAGTAGCCCAAGTAAAATACACTAATCCTTTTTTGTTTTAGAACATTAAATACAACCTATCACTTAAATAGGTGGATAAAAAAATATCATACCACCACAGCCTAATTCTCCAGGTGAAATATATTTCTGGCTGAAATTGTAAGTAAAATCTAGCAATTAAAATGAGCAAATTAATGATTACATGGGAACCAGAAAGAGTAAAATAAATAAAATGAACAAGTACATTAAATACAATATTTGGTTTTATTCCTAATATGAGTTACTGACATGAATACAGATCATAAAGCCTGGGTTCAGATTCCTATAAATCATTTTACCCATGAGCCTCGGGGATTTCATATGTAAAACAAACAAACCCTGAAATTCCCTTAAAACTCTGAAATGAAGTTGGGTGTGGTGATTGAAACCTATAATCTTAATACTTTGGGAGGCCAAGGCAGGAGGATTACTTGAGCTCAGGAGTTCAAAACCAGCCTGGACAACACAGGGAGACGCTGTCTTTATTTAAAATAACAATAATAATTAAAAATAATTTTTTAAAACTTTGAAATGAGTGTATGAAAGCTAATTCAAATGTCTGTCTAGGGTAAAGGACACAGTAAATTAAGTCTAACTGATATAAGCTAGTATTTTATTGCAGAAAATTATGTTCTTAGATAAAAAGGAAAGAAAAATACCTTAATTAGACAAACATAATAATCAACATAACAATTATAGCTTCTAGTTATTTCTGGGGAAAAAATTATTCCTTTGTACCTACTATGTGCAGATGCTATTCTAATCCAGGGGTCTGAACACTAAATCCCATTTCCAGGCCAATTTTGGTAGGGCACATAAGCTAAGAAACGGTTTTACATTTTTAAATGTCTAGGGGGAAAAAAAAATAGCATTTCATGAAGCAAAAACTTAGGCTGGGCATGGTGGCTCATGCCTAAAATCCCAGCACTTTGGGAGGCTGAGGTGGGTGGATCACCTGAGGTCAGGAGTTCGAGACCAGCCTGGCCAACATGGTGAAACCTTGTCTCTACTGAAAATACAAAAATTATCTGGGTATGGTGGCAGGTGCCTGTAATCCCAGCTACTAAGGAGGCTGAGGCAGTAGAATTGCTTGAACCCTGGAGGCGGAGGTATCGAACCGAGATTGTGCCACTGCACTCCAGCCTATACAACAGAGCGAGACTCCATCTCAAAAAAAAAAAAAAACAATTACATGAAAGTCAAACTTCAGTGTATGTAAACAGCTTTATTGGAACACAACATGCCCAGGCATTTACTTACTGTCTATGGCTGCTTTCATTTTCCAAATAAAATGGTTGGAACAGAAACCATACAGCCCACAAAGCCTAAAATATTATCTTTCAGAAAAAGTTTGCTGACCCCGTTCTAGGTTTTGGATATACATCACTAAAGAAAAAAAATTCATGTACTTATGGAGATTACACTAGTTGGGAGAGGCAGACAACAAGTAAATGATGATGAGTATCTAGAAATAAATAAAGCTTGACAGCAGAATAGGAAGTCCTAGTGTTGGGGATAAGAGCTGCTGAATAGGGCAGCCAAAGGAAAACTTCAAAGAAGGGACTTTTCAGGAAAGACCTGAGATAAGAACAAACCATGCAGTTGCCTGGAGGAAGAAAATTCCAAACAGAAGAACTGGAAGTACAAAAGCCCTAAAAGGAAAGTATCTGGTTTATTCTTGGAGCAGCCAGGAGGCTAATGTGGCTGCAGCCAAATGAAAGAGGGGAAGATGAGCAGGCGCTGAGGTCAGAGGGGAAATAGGCTGCCAGATCAGGTGGGGATTAGGCTGAGAAGACTTCAGCTTTTACTCTGGATGAGATGGAAAGCCAATGGAAGGGCATAACCAGAGTAATACTATAACTTGAGTTTTAGCAGATGTAGTGAGAATATAATACAGGGTGACAAGAGTGAAGCAGGTGGGCTCTAGAAGGAGCAGCCAGAGAGGGAAAAAGAAAACCAAGAGTCTATCAAAGAAGTCAGAGGAAATTTGTTCACTGAGCCAAGGACTTCAAAATAAGAAAAGTCAAATCTTGAAGATATTAAGATAAAAACGGAAAAGTTCCTGCTAGATTTAACAATAAGGATCAATAAGAAATAAAGAGGAAGAGAGAATCTGTAATGACTAAGAAAGCAAGTATGCTTTTCATTTTCAAACAATTACAGATTCGCAAGCAATTTTAAGAAATAATACAGTCCAGGCATAGTGGTTTATGCCTGTAATCCCAGCACTTTGGGAGGCCAAGGTGGGCAAACCACTTGAGCTCAGGAGTTTGAGACCAGCCTGGGCAACAAAATGAGACTCCATTTCTACAACAAATACAAAAACTAACTGGGTGTGGTGGCTCATGTCTGTGGTCCCAGCTACTAGGGAGGCTGAGGTGGGAGGATGGCTTGAGGCTAGGAGGCAGAAGTTGCGTGAGCCAAGATCATGCCACTGCATTCTAGCCTAGGCAAGAGTCAGACCCTATCTCCAAAAACAACAAAACAGAAAGAAAGAATACAGAAAGATTTCCTGTAGCCTTTATCCAATTCTATCCAATTTCCCCAATGGTAACATCTTACAAATAATACAATATCAAAGTCAGGATATTGATAGTACAGGAACACATGTCCTCATGTTGGATCCTATGATGTTGCCCTTTCATAGCCACATTGCTTCTCTTATACCTCACCCTTTCCTTAGTCCCTGGTATCTACTCAACTGTTCACTGCCATGTGTTTTTTACTTTGAAAACTTTATATAAATGGAATCATACTGTATATAATTTTGGGGATTGGCTTCTTTCTACTCAGTATAATTCTCAGGCGATTCATCTACGTTGTTTCATGTACTAACAGTTCATTCTTTTTATTGGTGAATAGTATATTCCATGGTATAGGTACACCATTGTTAATTTACGTGTTGAAAATTGTAGTTTTGGGCTATTACATATAAAGCTGATATAAGCTGATTCAAAAGAAACATTTGAGTGTGTGAATGTACTCTTCATTTGTCAGGTCTAAATGCTTAGGAGTGCAACAGCTTCTACAAGGCAAGCATCACCTAATATGTTCCATCACAGAACAGATTCTTTATCATAGCTCTCAAGAAACCAACCCTGCTGACACCTTGATCTTGGAAGCTAGCCTCCAGAACTGTGAGACAACAAATTTCTGTTGTTTAAGTAACTCAGTTTGTGGTAGTTTGTTATGGCAGCCCTAGCAAACTAAAACAGCTATTGTAGCTTCTCTGCCTTTCCTCCAAATTTTAAAATAATCTTGCGTATGTCTATAAAAATATCTTGCTGGAATTTTGATAGGAATTGTGTTAAACTGACAGGTTTCCTATTTCAAGTGTTCCAATCCATGAACATGGTAAATCTCTCCATTTGTTCGAATTTTATTTCTTTCAACAGTGTTGTGTTGTTTTCACCATACAAATCCTGTACGTGTTTTATGTACGTGATATATACCTAAGTATTTGTTTTCCTTTTTTTGTGTGATTGCAAATGGCATTTAATTTTGGTGTCTATGTATTGAATGCTAGTATATAGAAACACTATTTTTTTTAAACATTTAACTCATATCCTATAACCCCGATAAAATCACTTATTAATTCTAGGTTTTGTTTTTGGTTTTTGTAGAATCTTTGGGATCCTCTACCTATAGAATCATGTCATTTGCAATTATGGAAGGTTTTATTTCTTTCTGTGCTTAATGCCTTTTATTTCTTTTATTTCCTTGTTGTATTTATTATCCATTTGATTCCTGCAAGGTCTACAGTGCTTTCATTTCATTCTGTTTATCAGTAATTTGTGTCTCTTGTTTTTATCAGTCTTTCTACAAACTTATAGAGTACTGAACTTTTCAAAGAATCAATCCTTTGTTTCATTGACTTTATTGATTTTCCATTTTCTATTTCACTGATTTCTACATTCTATTATTTCTTTCCTTATGATTGGTTTGGGTTTATTTTGCCCTGTTTTCCCTAAGTTCTTGAAACAGAAGCTTAAATTATTGAGATTGATCTCTTTTCTTAAAGTATGCATTTAGTGCTATAAATTTCCCTCTCAGCACTACTTCAGCTATGTTCCACAAATTTTGATGTGTTGCAATTTCATTTTCATTCAGTTCAATTTGTTGTTTTTTTCCTTTTAGACTTCCCTTTGAAATATAGATTATTTAGAAGAGTGCTCTTTAGGTTTCCAAGTTTTGGAGATTCTCTTGTTATTTTCCTAATATTAATTTTTTTCTTTTCTTTCTTTTTTTTTTTTTTTGAAACAGTTTCACTCTTGTTGCCCAGGTTGGAGTGCAATGGTATGATCTAGGTTCACTGCAACATTCACCTCCCGGGTTCAAGAGATTCTCCTGCCTCAGTCTCCTGAATAGCTGGGATTACAGGCACCCACCAACACACACAGCTAATTTTTGTGTTTTTAGTAAAGATGGGGTTTCACCATGTTTGGGCAGTCTGGTCTCGAACGCCTGACCTCAGGTGATCCACCTACCTCAGCCTCCTAAAGTGCTGGGATTATAGGCGTAAGCCACCATGCCTGGCCCCTAATTTTAATTTCTAGTTTAATTCCATTGTAGTCAGAGAAGACACTCAGTATGATTTTTGGTTCTTTTATATATATTCAGGTTTGTTTATATCTAATATGTTCTACCTTGGTATATGTTCCATAGGCACTTGAATTGTGTATTCTGCTGGTGTTGGGTGTAGTAGTCTATAAATGCCAAGTAAATACTTTGGCTTAGGATGATGTTGATTGTTCTACATCCTTGCAAATTTTCTGTCTGTTGTTATATCAACCCTTGAGAGAAGAGTGTTGAATCTCCAGTTACAATTGTGGATCTATTTTTCCTTTCCATTCTTTCGATTTTTGTTTCACCTATCTTGCAACTGTTATTTGGTGTATATACATTTAGAATGGTTACATCTTCTTCATGGATTGACCCTTTTATCATTATATAATGTCTCTCTCTGTCTCTAATAAGTTTCTTTGCTCTGAAATCTTCCTTAATTTTAATATAACCAGTCCTATTTTCCTTCTATTAATGTTTGCATGATATATCTTTTTCTACCCTTTCACTTCTAATCTGCCAACATCATTGTATTCTGAGTGAGTTTCTTGAAAATAGCATACAGTTGGATTATGATTTTGTTTTGTTTTTATTGAAATAATCTTGCTCTGATGCCCAGGCTGGAGTGCAGTGGCATGATCTTGGCTCACTGCTATTTCTACTTCATAGGTTCAAGCAATTCTCCCACCTCAGCCTCCCAAATAGCTGGGATTACAGGCATGTGCCACTATGCCTAAATTTTTTTTTTTTTTTTTTTTTTTTAGTAGAGCCAGTTTTGCCATGTTGGCCAGGTTGGTCTTGAACTCCTGACCTTAAGTGTTCTGCCTGCCTTGGTCTCCCAAAGTGCTGGGATTATAGAGATAAGCCACTGCACCCAGCCTGGATCATGTTTTTTAATCCACTTTACCTATCAGTGTCTTTCTATTGGTATATTTAGACCATTTATATCTAATGGAATTATTAATATGTTAGGGCTTAGGTCTGCTATTTTATTTTTTGTTTTCCATTCATTCTCTGTTATTATTTCTGTTTTCTTTTTCTTGCCATCCTTAGGTTAGCTATTTTTTAGAATTTCATTGCAATTTAACTATGGTGTTTTTGAGTTACCTCTTTGTACAGCTTTTATAGTGGCTCCTCTAGGTATACATTTCTGTGTGTGTGTGTGTGTATTTGTATGTGTATAAACTTATCACAATTTCCTGGTGTCATAATTTTACCAATTCAAATGAAGTAAACTTATCTCCCTTCATGTCCCTATACCTCCCCCTGTCTACCGCCCATTTAAAATATAATTGAAAATAGAAAGTAAGAATACACAGATAAAAGTAGGCTTTCAAATGGCTTGGCTGTGAAAAGCAAAGATTAAGGCAAGTGCTGGTAGAGTTACAGGGATTTTTTTTTTTTTCAGTTTCTTGTTTGATTTTAAAAGTGGAGAGACCTGAGCAAGCCTAACAACTGAGAGGAAAAATGCAGTAGAAAGAGGTAGAAGGAAAATAAGGAATATGAAGTGACTGGTACAGCTAGCTTTTTAAAAAAAGAGCTGGGAGGAGAATAGATGCATAATACAAATGAAGACATTACTCAAGCTAAGAGGAAGGCCACCACTTCTAGTGAGATAGGAAGATGAAAGAAAAGGTTGGGCTTGGGGCAGAAAAGTCTGCATGTAGGGTTGGAAGTAGTGAGGGTGGTCTCATTTCTGATACTCTCTTCTTGTATCAAAGGAAGTAAAAATCATCTGCACTTAGGTTGCAGGAGAAAGTGATGGGGGATGATGAAGATTTGATTAAAGAAGGTTAAATTTGGTCTTTGAGCAAAATGAGAGAAGAAGCCAATCAGAGAAAAGACCATTCATAATCAGCACTTAAAGTTCTGGCTGATTTTGAAAACATGTAATTGTGTTAACAATAATTTCCAAATGTTTATAATTTGTCCCAATTGTATTTTTTATCCTAAATGTAGAAAGAGAAATGATGAAAGATTAAACATACCCAGGAATGAACTTTTACAGGGGTGGTTCAAAAGAAGGATATACAAAACAGAACTAGCTAACAAATATCCCAAAACTTTAAGTACACAAGCAAAAGATTATTCCTTGTTAAAAATGTAGTTCTACATCAAAGAAATGCCTGCAAAAAAAAGGACTGCAGATATTTTTTCCTTCTCATATACTGAAAATACTTCCTTTGCATAAAAATAAATGTATTGTGGGGTGTGATTTGGGTTTAGAATTTAAAAATAGATGTGAATACAGAGATAGTTTGAAATTCTCATCTATTCAACTCCTGTTCTCTATTCTGGTTTGCCATGGGTCTCTTAAAAGTACCTAGAAGGAAGTCTAAAACTTGAAATATTTTCCTTACCATAGAAAGTGGCAGTGGAGTTTCAAACTTCTGCAGCAATGCTAAACCTGCAGATAAGACCCCCTTATGGCTATGACACACAGGGCTGAAGTGCATTAGTTTTCTAACCATTTCTGCCTAAGATCTTACCACTGATTTATCCAAGTATACACTGGGTTCCTAGTGCTTTTGAATTGCAAAGGGCAACTTGAGTGACATTTTGAAAATCATTTATTTAAAAGTGATTTTTAATCTAGAAAATGTTTATTTCCAAGTGTGCAAAATTATGAAGGTCAGGTTTAATGCTTAGCAATGAAAACATTTTGGCCTAAGTATTCTAAGATGTGGTTTTTAAAATATTGAATAAAACAAGATATATCTGAAGAATTATGGCACTCATTAAATACTGAGTGGTTGAATTGATGGATAGTTTTAAAGGATTTCCTGAAGCTTGAATTAATACTAAATCTAAAAGTAAACATCCAAAACACCTTTCAATAGTCTCTTCTTCCTTGGTCCCTGATATGTTAGAAAGAAATATTGCATGCAGAAATGAGTGTACTGTTTCTTTTTCTTTTTTTTTTTGAGACGGAGTTTCACTCTTGTTACCCAGGCTGGAGTGCAATGGCGCGATCTCGGCTCACCGCAACCTCTGCCTCCTGGGTTCGGGCAATTCTCCCGCCTCAGCCTCCTGAGTAGCTGGGATTACAGGCACACGCCACCATGCCCAGCTAATTTTTTGTATTTGTAGTAGAGACGGGGTTTCACCATGTTGACCAGGATGGTCTCGATCTCTTGACCTTGTGATCCACCCGCCTCAGCCTCCCAAAGTGCTGGGATTACAGGCTTGAGCCACCACACCCAGCTGAGTGTACTGTTTCTAAAGATCATTGCTTAAGATGAAATTAAACATTTGCTGCTGAAAAATAAACTGTTTGAATATTACTTTATCCACCAATAGTGACTGTTGACTCCAGAAACATTCTCACTATGCAGAAACTCAAAGCATGGCTGCAAATCTGGGCTAATCTCCATTCTCCCCATTTCACATGAAAAACATTATTACATTGCACCATTAGTTCACCCACTTTTCTTGTATGACATAGTTTTATATCCCTTACATTTAATTTAAATCAAGTAGAATCAGAATTCTCATCAGGCACTTCAAATATTTGACAAAACATAAATAAATATCAATGCATATAATTACTGAAAACTTTACAAAAACGTAAGCAACTTGAAAATCTATATTCCTTTAAAACAGCAGCCCCCAACCTTCTGGGCAGCAGGGATCAGTTTCATGGAAGATAATCTTTCAACAGACTGGTGGCGGTTGGGAGAGGCTTTGAAATGAAACTGTTCCATCTCAGATCAGACATTAGATTTCATAAGAAGCGTGTAACCTAGAGTCCTCACATGTGCAGTTCACAATAAGGGTTCGTGCTCTTCAAAAAATCTAGTGCTGCTACTGATCTGACAGAAGGTGGAGTTCAGTTGGTAATGCTCCCTAGCCTGCCACTCAGCTCACCTTCTGCTGTGCAACCCGTTCATAAAAGGCCAAGAACCAGTAGAGGTGTTGGGGACCCCTGCTTTAAAACAAATTGTTTATTAAATATTAATAAACTGCTCTATATTCTTAATGGACACTAAAATTACATCTATATTTTTCTCTTACCTAATTTTACAGGAAAGCCTGGAGGAAGCTTCATCTGAACAAATTCTCTAAGCTTGTTAAAGTGCTTGAAGGGAGCTATTACTTCTAAAACATTCAATAATCTGAAAAATGGAAGAAGAAAGAAATGTTTTCATTGTTCAAATTGCTTTGTGTCCTTATGCTTTTTAACTACATGCTTCAAACTTAGACAGTAGTATTGACGTCCACATATTGAGGATGAGTAAATTACACACTGTCTTCCTCCTTTTTTATTCTTTTTACTCTATAATGGTTTATAACTTTTGATTGTACAGCCATAATTTTCACAATTGTTTGATTTTAGGTCCGTATTTAAATGGTCTCAAAGCTAATAACTAGACTCACTGTTTGGGTGGCTGATTTCCACTGTCAATTTACTGTATGTGTAAAAGGCTCTTTCTAATGTGCTTTATATTCCTTGATTTAGTGGATATTTGACAAATGAGTGCCTATCTTTATATTTAAAGGGAAATTTGACTCACATAAAATTTCAGGATATATTATCATTCCCTCTGAACCATAATTTCATAGTATCTCTTAGCATTCTGTATCATACTAGTTATTATGCTGTAATTTCTTTCATCTTTTGGTTGGATGGATTTCCTTTTTAAGTAGTAGTATTTTTCTTTCAAAAATGCCCCATGACTGCTACATTTCTTGAATTCTTTTGCATTTCAGAATATCTTCAGTTGCCTCCATACATAAATGAAAGTTAGACATACTAACAGATCACAGTTTTGTTACCTCAATAAAATAAAGATATGTCAAAAAATGTAAGGCCAGGCTGATTTTACCCCTTTTCTACCTGGATGCCTTTGGATTCTTTATCAACAACTGAAGCCCAATAGTTTAATCAGAACAGATTTGTTACTAATCATTCCGTATCAATTTTTCTTGGAACCTAATGTCTGTCATCCTAGAGCTTTAGTTCTTCATCACAGAAAAATTTTCTTCTGTCTATTTTGAATATTATTTTCGTTATACTTGGAGGCTTCCTATTTCAGTAAAAGAATTAACCAAGAGCTGTCAAAATTTAATTTTCAGTTATATCTATTCTATTCATTATTGTTTCTAGTGTATTTGTTTTGTAATAGTGCCGTTTAGTGCTCAATTTATTTCCTCAGCTTTGCAATCTCCTTGGCATTTCATTTTACTGTCTACATTCTCATCTTAAAATGACTTACTTTACTGATTCTGTGTTCTTTCTTGTTTTCTATGGCACTTATAGGTAATTTTTTTTTTTTTTTTTTTTTTTTTTTTTTTTTTTTTTTACCATTTAGAACAAATTCTTTATCTGGCATTTGTATGCCGTGTTCCTTATTTCATTTTCTTTTACAAGAGTAGTGGTTATAACTGCCACATTTTATAAATTCTAAGGCACTCACTTTTCTTACATAATATATCTGAAATTAGGATAACTCCTAAAATTGATGGCATCTTAATATTAGCTGCAGTTTTCTTCTTTATTAGTAACTAAAATATAAAACTGGTGCATCTTTGGCCAAGTATGGTGGCCTATGCCTGTAATCCCAGCACTATGGGAGGGCCAGGTGGACAGATTACCTGAGGTCAGAAGTTTGCAATCAGCCTGCCCAACATGGTGAACCCCATCTCCACTAAAAATACAAAAATTATCCAGGCATGGTAGTGCATGCCTGTAGTCTCAGTTACTTGGGAGGCTGAGGTCGGAGGATCACTTGAACCTGGGAGGCAGAGGTTACAGTGAGCTGTGATTGCACCACTGCACTCCAGCCTGGGCAACATAATGAGACTCTGTCTTAAATAAATGAATAAATAAATAAAATAAAACTGGTGCATCGTTGAGTCAACTGGGTTCTAGATACGACAAATTATGGCAGATCTGTATGTGTGGCTAACTCTCCACATTTTCTGGGACTTAACTCTCTCACATAACTTGAGGGCTGTACAGAACATTCTATCTACTTTTCTAAAGCCTAGATATGGGGAAAGCTCAGTTATATACATACTTTAAAAAAAAGTATGCACCCTGCTCTCTTCTCCAATAATTTTTTAAAAATGAACTAGGCCATTAAAAAAAAATTAACCCATTAGGCCAGAATTGAAAGGAAAGAAACGAATTGCCTGGTGCTTCAACTCATCACCTCCCTCCCACTTTAGTGAGGAGCCTAAAACTATAGTTGTATCAGAGTCAGCTCTTGCTACCCATCTCTCATTTCAGCCATCTCTCCAAATTGAATATTTTTAAAAAGAAGCATCCAATGAGTACAGGTTTGAAAGGATATATTCAATATGTTTACTATAATTGTTGAAAATGGTGACAAACTACAAATAACAAAAATGTTTATCAGTAGGTGAATGATAAACGACAGTATATCAACTCTACAAAATACCAAAAAAAGAATAAATAGACGAAAATATAATCACTGTAAAACTTCAAGATACACTTTTTTTTTGAGACGGATTCTGCTCTGTCACTCAGGCTGGAGTACAGTGGCATAATCTCAGCTCACTGCAACCTCCACCTCCTGGGTTCAAGCTATTCTGCTGCCTTAGCCTCCCTAGTAGCTGGGATTATAGGTGCATGCCACCACATCCGGCTAATTTTTGTAAATTTAGTAAAGACAGGGTTTCACCATGTTGGCCAAGCAGATCTCAAACTTCTGACCTCAGGTGATCCACCTGTCTTGGCCTTCCAAAGTGCTGGGATTACAGGTGTGAACCACGGTGTCCAGCCAAGATACACTCACTTTTATGAAAACAAGGAGCACACAGAACAAAACATGGACTATTACCCCATTTCTCTTTTTAAAACATGCAAAAACACAGATAACTCTAGACAAAAATACACCAAACAGTCATTAACTATTGATGTGTTAAAATTTCACATTTTATTCTATAGATTTCCATATTTTCTATTAAAAAAAAAAAGCATGCATTCATGTATTACTTTTATAATTTAAATAAACTATTCAAAAATTTATCTGGTGAAAGTAATAAAAATCAATACTTTTGCAAACCAGAAAATTTCTAGAAGAGTGCACACACTATCAAGGCAATGGCTATTTGCTTTTCATTTCAAAGGACTCAAATGCACCACTGGAATGCAAATATTATTACAGTCTTTAGGGTTTAATAGCTTCTTTCATAAACATTTATAATTAGTAACAAACTTACAACTCTATCCCTAAGGGAAATTCCTGGCTCATGGCTATCGTCGCTTTAAATGTTTTCTTACTCTCTTTGCACACCAATTCTCTACCCAGATGAGGAGCTCTAAAATGGAAGAAAAAAAAGTTAGGAAACTTTTCCATAGTCTATCATCTTCCTAAGAAGAATCTTCGTCTTTCAATAACATTCATTAATATTTCAGTTTGTCTTACTCTGTCTATAGAAATAAAACTATGCTAAAAGGGAATAAGATGTATATAAGAAATAAGACAAGAGTAATTAAAAAAAATAGCCAAGAGTAAAAGTTCAGAAATTATCAGATCTAAATTTCACACTGAATATAATTTTAATAATCACTAATTTTAGGAATAAAGAAAATCATTAGTAAAAAAAGTTTAAAGGTATCATTGTATATATTTAAAGTTACTTATTTAATTCAATCTTCTTTACTCTGCATTGATCAATAAGAAATACTGTGAAGAATAAGGAATTCTATATTAACTACTGTCAACAGAAAATGATCAACTTAGCATAAAGATTTAGTTGGCTTTTATTCGCAACTCTAGCACAGGCCAATACCTAATTCTGTAAAACAGAATAAGTGTTCCAATAAGCTGCACAGAGGAGGTTAGCTTTATAGACTGTAAAGGGCTGAGGCAGAAACAGTGGGGAAAAAAGGTGATCTGGTTATTTCAAAGTTGCTTTCCTTATATGATTAAAAAAACAGAAGCTTCTTTACTATGCTGACTCAGGTTGACTGGAATGTCCTTTTTTATCTTTTTAAACTGGCCCATTTCAAAGTTCAGTTTAATTACGTAGTACTTTGCAGAAGTAACTACATTCTGGTTTGGTATGGTCTCCTGCATGCAGGATGCTAATCTAATATAATAATCCTCTCATAAATTTTGTTTAACACTATAAAATATTAAGGTCAGGCTCAGTGGCTCATGGCTATAATCCCAGCCTTTGGGAGGCTGAGGTAGGTGGATCACTTGAGCCCATGAGTTCAAGATCAGCCTGGCCAACAGGGTAAAACCTTATCTCTACTAAAAACACAAAAATTAGCTAGGCGTGATGGCGCACACCTGTAATCACAGCTTAAAAAAAAAACTACAAAATATTAGGATGGAAACACCTTGGAGAATTTAGAAAAATATAACAAACCTTTCAATAAGAAAAAAAAAATAATTACAACTTCTTCCTAAACAGGAGCGGGAAAGTAATATTTTATTGCCCACCAAAAGAAAATAATGGTTGGCCACAATAAATGTTTTATTTATCCATTTATTAAAAATAAACCCTTTATTCCTTCATCATTCTTTTAGTCAATAAATATAAACTGAGTAGGAGCTCTGTGCTAGGCACTTTACTAAGTGTTAGTAATATTGCATCAGCAAAGGTCCTATGGAAGGATGGTGAGAAGTAGTCTAGCACAGTTTGAAACTAAAGGATAATGACAGGTGAGGATCTTGGAAAGGCAAAGAGAAGAGAAATAATGAATGGCCTTGCACACTATGCTAAAAAATCAGGATAATCACAAAATACAAAAGCTCATCATACAATGGGAAATCTCAAATGAGCAGCTGTACTTCGCAATTTCCTACATATCTTTCCTTAGAACAGTGTCCTTTAGTTTTTTAGGTGTGTATAAACTGACAGAAGGGACACAGAAAGAAAGATCTACAACTATTTGCAAAGAGTGTATGTAATATGAGACACTTTGCCTTTATCATACTTAATCCATATTTTTAAAAGGTAAAATAATTGCTTCAGTCAAAAATATACCAATAATTCTCTCTCCAAACTAATTTTACACCTAAATATTCATATATTCAGCTTTTACAAATTATTCTTTCTAAAAACCAAATGATACATAAACAAGAAAAAAACTTACTTTCCATTTTCAGCAGATATATATTCTTCCCATGTAATAGTGTTCTGAGGAGGAGGTGTCAGAGACTGTCTTCGAACCGGCTGCCAAAAAAAAAAAAAAAGAAAGAAAGTGGGGTGGGGGAGAAAGAAAAATGTTATTTTTTAAATATAAGATTACAAGATATAGTACACTATTAAAACTAACAATCTATTTAATCTCTTTAATATAATACTTGAAAAGGTTCCTTCCAAGAGAGCGCCACGGTGGTTGGCTCTATTGGTAATATTTATTATTAATTTTTTTCTAAATCCCCAAAAGACAAAAATATCAAAGTAATAACACCCATTCATTCAATGTTTCAATCATCTAAAATGTCCCTGGCATTATACTAGCCACTGAACACAGGAACTACAGAGAAGTGTAAAAACTAACTCTAGGCCAGGCACGGTGGCTCACGCCTGTAATCCCAGAACTTTACGAGGCTGAGGTGGGTGGATCACGATGCTGGGAGTTCAAGACCAGCCTGGCCGAGATGGTGAAACCCCATCTCTACTAAAACTAAAAATACAAATAAATTAGCCAGGCATGGTGGCGGGTGCCTGTAATCCCACCTACTCGGGAGGCTGAGGCAGAGAACTGCTTGAACCCAGGAGACAGAGGTTGCAGTGAACCGAGATCAAGCCACTGCACTTCAGCCCGGTCAACAGAGTGAGACTCCATCTCAAAAAAAAAAAAAGAACTCTGACTTGAAGGAATTGGAAAGAAAAAAAAGAAACAGGCATAAGAAGTAAACCAGAAATATAAAATAGCATATTATTAAAGGCCAAATGAGGTTATAGAAAATAGAAAAGATATCCGAAAAGACAGCAATCTTCTAATGAGGTTATAGAAAATAGAAAAGATATCCGAAAAGACAGCAATCTTCTGTGGGCAATAATCAAGACTATCTTATTGGACTTCAGATTTAAAACAGAAAGAATTAAAGGTAAAAAACACAAGTAGACTGATTTAAACTCAGAAGGGAAGTTCAAAACAGAGATAATAGATAGTAAAAATTGCAAAGGTCAGATTTTAAAGCTTTCACCTTATCTTTGCTAAATATCAATTTCAATCACTGTAAGATGAACTGGCAACAAGGAACTAAATTCTAGAGTAGAAGTGGAAATTGGACATTCTTGGGCCAGATGCACTGGCTCATGCCTGTAATCCCAACACTTTGGGAGGCAAAGACAGGAGGATCACTTGAGCCCATGAGTTTGAGACCAGCCTAGGCAACATAATGAGGCTGTCTTTAAAAAAAAAAAAAAAAAAGAAAAAGAAAATTAGCTGAGTGTGGTGGTGCATGCCTGTGTTCCCAGCTGCTTATAAAGCTGAGGCAGGAGGATCACTTGAACCCAGGAGGTTGAGGCTGCAGTGAGCCATGATTACACTACTGCACTCCAGCCTGGGTAACAGAGTAAGACCCTGACTCATAGGATAAAAAAAAAAAGAACTAGATGAGTGTGGTGGCTCGTGCTTGTACTCCTAGCACTTTAGGAGGCAAAGGCAGATGGATCACTTGAGGTCAGAGGTTCAAGACCAGCCTAGCCAATATGGTGAAACCCCATCTCTACTAAAAATACAAAAATTAGCCAGGCATAGCGGCACGCAGCTATTTGAGAAGCTGAGGCAAGAGAATCACTTAAACCCAAGAGGCAGAGATTGCAGTGACCCGAGATCATGCCATTGCACTCCAGCCTGGGCATCAGAGTGGGGCAGGGTGGGGGTAAGAACTCACTAAAAAAAAAATTTCAATTCCTAAGGAAAACCTAACAGGACTATGGAGCAAAAAGACAATACGTGAAAGACTAATATACATAAAAAGATGATAATAACATTGAGAGGATCTCATTCAATATATGTGGTTTACATATAATTAATGTAACATGCTAATGAGCCAAATATTAGAGTGTTAAAATCAAGGATTGTTAAGACACAAAACTGAGTTAGAATCCCAGATCTGATACCTGGTCGTTGTGTGAATTTGGGCAAGTTACTTTCTATTATATCAACCTAACTCACATGCAAAATGAGAATTGGGTTACTAACTCATTGTTAATTAACGGAGATAACACACACAAAAAGCTTAGTGCAGGCTAGGTCTGGTGGCTCGTAACTATAATTAATCCTGGCATTTTGGGAGGCCAAGGCAGGTTGATCGCTTGAGCTCAGGAGTTCAATATTAGCCTGCACAACATGGCAAAACCCCATCTCTACAAAAAAATAAAAATAAAAGGAACCAGGTGTGGTGGTGCACACCTGTGGTCCCAGCTACTTGAAGGGCTGAGGTGGGAGGACTGCTTGAGCCCAGGACGTGGAGGCTGCAGTGAGCTGAGATCATGCCACTGCACACTAGTCTGTATGACAGAGCAAGACACTGTCTCAAAAAAAGAAAATAAATAAATAAAAAGAGAGAGAAGCAGTAAATGGAGGAAAACCTTTTTTTCTGTCCTCCCTGTTTTCTGCCTAACTATAGAATATAAATTTTGCTTCACTGGCAATAACTCTATACCCTTACTGGGCCAGAGACAGCACCAGTGAAATCTGCAAACAAATCTTTCCTGTTCTTGGAACTAAATCACTTTCCTTTGTCCTGTCATTTTTCTACAAATTTATTGTTCTTTGTCAAAGATGGTATATAAGTGAATAAGCAGAGTTCTAAGCCCCTGTTTTGAGTTAGTTTATTGTTATTGTTGTTGTTTTATTTTTTGAGATATAGTCTCATTCTGTTACCCAGGCTGGAGTGCAGTGGTATGATCTCAGTTCATTGCAACCTCTGCCTTCCAGGTGCAAGCAATTTTTCTGCCTCAGACTCCTGAGTTGGGATTACAGGTGTGCATCACAATGCCTGGCTAATTTTTCTATTTTTAATAGAGATGGGGTTTTGCCATGTTGACAGGGCTGGTCTCAAAATCCTGGCCTCAAGTGATCCACCTGACTCAGCATTCCAGAGTGGTGGTATTACAGGTGTGAGCCACCATGTCCGGTCCTTGAGTTACTTTTCCTTGAGGTTTCTTGTGTGGTGTATGGCACGGATTAATAAACTTGTTTGTTTTCTCTTGTAAACCTGTCTTTTGATATGAGAATCCATTTCAACTAAGAACTAAGTTTGGAAGAGGTAAAGTTTAGCTTCCCCTACAATCTAATGGAGGCCAAAAGGAAAGACTGTTTCAATATGACACTGCAGAGACTTAGAGGAGAAAGAAGCCTGAAAAAAGGCCATCAATTTTGTTGGTTAGAAGTTATTGATGATCTCTGAATAGCAGCAGAGGGATGTGGAAAGAAAGGAAAAAGGAAACAGATTTTTTTGAGTATCAGGCAAGATGAAAGACCATATTCTTTCCTTGAGAAGCTTACAAAGAAAAACAAAAAGTAAATAGTTACAATTGACGGTGACAGGGGCTATGATATAATTGAGGGTGACTGGGGCTACAGAATGACATAAATTTGCACAGAAGGGGTTTATGACAGACTGGGGTAACCAACAGATGTGGACTGGTGACTTCTGAGTTGAGGAGTCTAAAAGAGAAAAACGGAACTGGTTGAAGGAACTGGGGAAAGGAGAATGTTGAGAGAAAGCATGATATACTCGGAAACTGCAAGTGCAGTGCGTCTAGTTGTATACATTAAGTTAAGTGTTAAGTGGCCAGGAACAGAAGAGAAAAAGTAGCCTGAAAGGGTTTTACATACAAAGTAGATAATATTTTACTCAGGAAGCAATGGACAAATATTTTTGAGCAATACCATATAGTCGTTAAAACACCAATTGTGGAGCCAGAGTGATCCAATTCTGGCTTCAACAATGACTAGCTAACTTCGAACAAATTATTCAACCTCTTTTGCCTCAGTTCAGTAAACTATATAACCTCAGAGGGTTTAATGTGATGCTAAAAATGGGCTGTTAAATGTGAATTGCTTTAAAAAGTTTCTCACACATAGCAAGTACTCTATACATTTTAGTTATTGAGCACAACCATTACATGATTCCATCTATTTCAGTGTGATTACTCTGGTGGCAGTGTATTTAGGAAGTCAGTAATCCAAATGAGAAATGTAAGGGCATGCTGTTCAAAAATGTAAGGACAGAAAATAGACTAAATAGACTCAAGAAATCCTTAGGATTTTGTAATTGATGAGATATAGAGATAAGAGGAAAGCTAAGAAGTCTAAGAAGAAATTTCAGGTTTCTGGCTGGGATAAATACAGAGATAATGGTGGCACCACCTAAGAAAAGAAGAAGGAGGAAAGAAAGCATGATCAGATTTAGACATACTAAATTTTAGACATTTATGTTTATTCAAGCAGAGGTAGGCAAAAGCACTATAGATCTGGTGATGTGAAGGAAGAATATAGTTAAAGGCATATCTCATCATGAGATATAGAGAGCTCAACCCATCCTCCCACCTTGGCCTAGTATTACAGGCAAAGTGCTAGTATTACAGGCATGAGTCACCATGCTTGGGCCCATGTGACTAAATTCTAATCAGTGGGATATGAACAGAGTGATGTGTACAACTTCTGAATGGGTTCTCAAACAGAAGAGGTAGGCCTTCTTCTTTCTGATTAGCACTTTGGGAAGCTGAGGCAGGCGGATCACCTGAGGTCAGGAGTTCAACACCAGTCTGGCCCATATAGTGAAACCCTGTATTTACTAACTACTCGGGAGGCTGAGGCAAGAGAATTGCTTGGACCCAGAAGGCAGAAGCTGCAGTAATCTGAGGTCACACCATTTCACTCCAGCATAAGCGACAGAGGGAGTATCTGTCTCAAAAAGAAATAAATAAATAAAAGAATTACTATTCCTCCTGGCTGGAATATGAAACTGGTAACAAATCATCTTATACCACATGGATGAAGGTCACGGCCTAGGAATGGCAGAGAAGACAAAAGAAAAAAAGCTATGTCTGAGGTTAACTAACAGAGCAGAGAAAAACTACACAAACTCATATTTTTACATGAGAGAAAAAGAATCTTTCTAGTTTAAGTCACTGTTGAGATCTCACTAGTTTGGGATTTCTCATAAGCAGCCAAACTTATAACCAATACTAAATTCCAAATGTAC